CCCACCCCTTGCAAAACCCCTCAATTTTTTTTTTTGCAAATTGAAGTTGTTTTGTGTAGTTTACAATACAAATTTTTTAGAGATTGAAGTTTTTTATGTGTTTTTTTACAAATTTTTTTTACAGATTTTTTATAATTTTTTTTACAAATTACATTGATAGATTAAGACATATAGGCCCTTAGAGTCAGTTAATACTTGATATGCAGTAAGCATTTAAGCTATGTTAGCCTTTAGCCGGTGGTATTAGCTCTTGGTTACCTATTTTTGATGAATTCAGAGACTAGACTCTGTTTAGGAAGTAGTGAATGTTAGCAATTAGCACGAGATGTTTGTTGAAACCCCTCTAGTTCTTTTTACAGATTTTTTACACATTTTTTACAAATTTTTTGGAATTAATTGAAACCCCTCAAGTTTTTTTTCAAATTTGTTGAAAAAAATTTGTTAGAATTCAATTGAAACCTGATATGATGATGTCGATCCTCCTCAAATTTGTTGCAAAAAAAAAAATATGCTGCAAAAAAAAGTCTCCCAGCCTCACTTTTACCCAAAACAACACCAATGATGATGATGATCCTCCTCAAATCTGAAAGTTTTTTAAAAACATTTTGTTTAATTGTATGTTTGATAAAATAAATAAGTATTATTTTTAACAATTTGATCATAACTGTGTAAAAAAATTTGATTCCCCTGTTTTGAACCAAACACGAACAAAGGGAATTATATTCCCCTTCATGCACTGGATCAAACAGACAGATTAATTCAGGGGTAATCATTCTCTTTCCCCCCTGATTTCCTTTCCTGTTTCCTTTCCGTTTCCTCAGCATGAACCAAACGCCCCCTTATTTACTCCATTTCACTCAATTTAGCATTCTTTTGTATACGTTATACATATATTTTTAATAAATATGGAGCATTATTTTATAGATCAAACACACTACTATTTGTTTTTTTTAGTAGAGAATAATTGTCTGAACAATAAGCAAACAATTGGTTTTATAGTTTTGACAAATGGTAATCTATTATTAGTAGTCAGTGTCTTATCAGAATACGGTTTGTATTGTCATAAAGTCTTATCTATTAATAGTAGTCGATGTCTTTTAGTCATGAACAATTATATGTTGCATTTTCAAGAGTAACAAATCGTAATGACTTGAAGATTCTTATTGGCAATGTAGAACATGTTTCCACCAAATGTACCACTAATGTAATTTACAAAGAAATTTTTCAGAATTTGTAAATTATATGATATTTTTGTTTTACATAAACGAATAACATTATATTCCATTATATGGTGTATTTGTTTAATTTTTAACAATTCCTACAAAAATTTATAATGCTAATATGAACCGTGCAATGCACGGATGTAATACTAGTTATATCGTTAGATAGAGTTTAAGTGTATGATCACAACTTGCAAATGCATTTCAATTCAGAGAAAGTTAGACCAAAAAGTGACCAAAAAGTATACCCCGACTGAGACTAAAATTAGTCCCAATCAGGGAACGGCGTGTGAAATCCTACAAATTGGTCATCCTGCTCACTAAGTCGATCATCAAACCAGAATTGGAATCTTGAGTCATACTCATGTCTTCTTCTTCACTTCTTATATATGAGGGAACCCAACCTTCCCATTTCTTCACCATTTTCCTTCAAACATAATTCTAAGATGTGGCTATGAGTGTAGAGAATGCAATGGTGCTTTCAATTTGATGAGAAGTCACCGGAGCTAGCCACAAACCTCACCGGAAGTTTTGCCAGAAAATTCTCAAAACCTTCAAGGTAAGCCCGTAGATATATCTAGTGACTAGAATGTTTGTATAGATCGTTTCTACGTTCATAAATGGTTGTTTGGTTGAGTTTTGTGTTTGACATATTTGAAGAACCAAAAATCATAAACCATGAAATTGTTGTTAAAACTATGAATTAATGATAGCAAACTGATATATGAACCTAGGAGAATATAAAATATAACTAGTGTTAACCCCGTGCTTCGCACGGGCTCGTATATATTCTAAATTTTTGAAATTCTATAAATATAATTTTAGTTGTTTTAGTTTTCTAATAGTGACAAAATATGCTTTAAACTGGTGGAATACATATTGGTATGTTAATTTAAAAACAAACAAATTTTATAAAATTAATGGTCATTGAATTAGGTACTAATAAAAATAATTTTAATTAATAAAATATTTTAATAAAAAGTGGATTAATTACATAATGATACATCATTAGAGAATGTAAATGTGTCATAATGTCACTTGTCAGTTGTCACCCTTCAATTAAACCAATTTTATTCTATTTACTTTGTTAAAAATATATGTAGCAATAAAATAAATAATGTAATAAGATAAAAT